TATCTATCTATCTATCTATCTATCTATCTATCTATCTATCTATCTATCTATCTAATCTATTTGTCAATTTTAATAGATTTGTATGCCGCCCAATCCCGAAGGACTCCTGGCGGCTTACATAAAAGCAGTTTAAAAATATTAAAAAAGATTAAAAACACAAGACAGAACGACTTAAAAAAACAAAACACAACATGCACTCAGTTTTAATGGGGCTGAAGTTCAATCAGGATCAACAGCCCCAGGCCTGCCGGAACAGCCAGGTCTTAACAGACTTATGGAAGGCCAAGAGAGTAGGGAGGCCCGGGATCTCAGGGGCTAAAGTACAGAGGAATTCAGTGAATGGCATTATTGCAAACTAGACTAAAGGATATAATTAAGTCTATATCCCTTAATGTCTTTAATTTCTTAGGATTATGTCTTTTCTTTGCTTAACATTGCTTTTGCTCCCCAAAGGAAATAGCAATGATGCTTATCTCACCTAAAGAAATTTCATTCTACTATTTAAATGTCATTTCACATAGTGCAAATTCTTCCATCAGGAAACCATGAAATGTAGAAATATAGGATGTGAGATAACTTGCTTGCTAATGGAACTATGAAGCTTGCATTAATGAAAGTAACCTGTGCACTACTCATATACTGCCTTAGTTACTGTATTAAGCTGTGGGGTACTGAATATGTAGTCCTCAACTTACAACCATAATTGAGCGCAAAATTTTTGTTGCTAAGTGAGACATTTGTTTAAAAGTTTTGTTCCATTTTATGACTTTTCTTGTCACAGTTGCTAAGTTGTTAAATTAGTAACATGGTTGTTAAGTGAATTTGGTTTCTCTATTGAGTTTGCTTGCCAGAAGGCTGCAAAAGGTGATCACATGACCTCGGACACTGCAACAGTCATAAATATGAGTCAGTTGCTAAGCGTCTGAATTTTGATCATGTGACATTAGGATGCTGCAATGGTCATAAGGGAGGAAACGGTTATAACTCCCTTTTTCAGTGCCTTTGTAACTTCGAATGGTCACTAAACAAATGTAAGTCAAGGACTACATGAATTTGAAGGTTTTAGATAAATTAGATCCATTATTCATAAAAAACAGTGAAGATGATCAAGAGGTTTGAAGTCAAGTTTCATCAAGAGAGATTGAAGACCTTAAGAAAGTTTTGCTTGTAGAAAGAAAACAAGAGGATAGACTACACTTCCCAACTCATACAGAAGGCGTTCAAGATATTAGTCTTAAAGGAAGATTCTGGTTTAACGTTAGAAGAATATTTTTAATTGTAAGAACAACTTGAAAGAGAAACAATTACCTAGAAACATGGTGAGTAGGATGCATTGAAGCAAAAGGTAGATAGTGTTGGGATTTATTTTGGATTTTTGCCTGACTAGGAAATTGGATTCTATTGGCCTTTCCAACTTAAGTTCTGATGATCTAAAGAAGGAGTGAAAACAAATCAGAATTGTGCAAATGAGATCAGGCCCCTATGCTTTCATGAAGTACGGAAATTAGCACAATTTCAGTATTACCTATTAATCAGACCTTTTACGGTTTTCTTCAGTCTTTCCAATTCTTCTTTCTTTTTGGAATCTATTTTCTCTTCGGAAATTCGCATTTGAGGTGGAACATACTTTACTGCATCTTGGTTAGGATTCTATATAAAAAAAGACAAACTTGTTTTATTAAACAAATTAATGATTAGCAATGAAAATGTATCTGTTTTTTGTACATTATCAGTAATGAGAATGTTAGTGCCACTCTTACATAATAACTCATATAACAAAATAACTCTCCTAAACCCCAAACTTAACAAAGGTAATCATGAGAAATGCACAATCTCACAGTGTGTGTGCCTAAAAGGTCATAGGGACACTGACTCCAATTGGAGTTCTCATTCATTTTACTCAGAGTTGTTTACTTTATTATTGATTCCACCTTTTCAAAAATATAAACCTCGAGGCAGCAAAAGGACCTACCCCTTCTATCTCATGTATTTTTCCACACATCTCTGTAAGGTAAGCTGGGCTGAGAGTGTGTGCCTGATTCTAAGTTACCCAGATGCTTTCACGCCTAAAAGTAAAGGTTCCCCTCGCACATATGTGCCAATCATTCCTGACTCTAGTGGGCGGTGTTCCTCTGTGTTTTCAGCATTGTCCGAAGACCTCTCCGGGGTTATGTGGTCGGCATGACTAAACACCAAATGGAATGCTGTTTACCTTCCCAGACAAAGGTGGTTCCTATTTTTCTACTTGCATTTTACATGCTTTTGAACTGCTAGGCTGCAGAAGCTGGGAAAAGTAAGGGGAGCTCACTCCGTTATGCGGCGCTAGGGGTTCGAACTGCCTGATCAACACGCTCAGCGTCTTAGCCTAAGGGAGGACTAAAACTCCCAGTCTCCTGGTTTTACACCAGCCACATAATCAGGGCACTAAACTGGTTCAATACTTTGCCACTGGGGGTGTAAGGATCTTCAACCACCTTTACTACCACTTCACCTCAGGCCTCCGTGCTTGGCAGTTCAGTTTTTCAGCCATGGCAATATTAAGATTTGCTGATTTCAACTCTGAGAACCCTCCAGCCAGCTCTTGGCTGGACTCCCCTTCTTCGCTTTCGCTTCCTTCCTCCGGGCTGGAATCCCCGGAGCTTCCCACTTCATCCCCATCCATCTCTCCCGGGCTCAGGCCTCCTCCTTCTTCTAATTCGGTCCCGCTTGCTTCTCCCTCATCGCCATTCTCGTAGAGGCCTGCGAAAGCGGCCTCGGATTTCAGCGCTCCCAGCACGTAATCCAGCCCGTCCCGGGCGAAGCTTTGTGGCAAGGATGATGCCGCCGCCGCTTCCCCCTCTTGGCCGCCACCTGCTCGCTGCTTTTTGCGGCGCTTGTGGAGTCCCAGTTGCCGTTCCAGGCGACGGATCTCCCGATCCTCCGCCTCGTTGGCAGCCAGCAGGGCTCTTTTGCGAGTCGCGGCCGTAGCGGAGGGAGCTGACCGGGGCTGAACCTTGGCCGGCGGCTGAGCCTTGACCCGCGGCGGCTTCTTTTCCTTCTTTTCTTCTCCTTCTTTCCGTTCTTCTTCCACCGGTGGCGGCGGGCTCCGCTTTCTAACGGAGGCTACCTTTGAGCGGAGCGGGCTCTTCGCTTCGCCGTTGACGATCAGCAGCCGCTTCCGCCGCCCTCGCTTCAACTTGCGCTTCTCTCGCTTCATTTCTCGTCGATTCCTGCGGCCGTTCCAAGCCGGCTGCTGAAGGGACCCGGAGGAGCCGCGATCGCCACCGCCATCGGGCCCCACCGCGGCCTCCACGAATTCTCTCACCGACAGCCCCAGTTTGTGGAGCTTCCCGATCGGCGACGGCTTCGTAGGCCTCCCTCCGCCTTTCCTCCTGGCGGACTGGCTGCCCTCAGCCGACGACGAGGAACGGGCCCTGTCCCGCTTCATGGCCCAGGCCGCGATCGCCTCACGATCTGGTCACACACTTGTCACACGTCGCGGCTCATGGGCGCCGCCATCTTCGGAGCGGGAGGCGGGGCTTAGAGCTCGTGAAAGAAGGCGTTTGGATGGCGCCCCTGTTGGAAGGCTGAAGCCTTTGATCAGAGACCGTCAATTCTGCAGCCTTCTCAATGATCGCTGGGAAATGTAGTTCAAAAGGTCTCAAGGGGTTATTGGGCTACAGCTTCGCAACAACCTGTTCTTTGCTCATGGGATCCTTTTTTTGAGCCCTTATGTAGCGTTGTGATCCCCCCCATTGGATGGACGTAAAGGTTCTTTACAACCTGCTCTATTTATGCATCTGAAATAATGTTTCTCAACCTTGGAGTTTCAGATGCGTGAACGATAACTCCCAGGATTCCCCAGCCAGTATGTCTCACTGACTAAAGCTATATCACATAAAGATTATTAGATAACTAGATAGATGGATGGATGGATGGATGGATGGATGGATGGATGGATGGAAGGAAGGAAGGAAGGAATACTTTTATTGGCCAAGTGTGATTGGAGGTTCCACCACAAAACCGCGTTNAAGACTTTTGATAACCTCTGGGACTATTCAAATGGAACTGACTGTTTACCTTTGGGATATAAAGAACTGAGATTCGAATTGGAGATACAAGAAGATACCTTCGAAAGGGAAATAGGGGCATGGGAAGAAATCCTGGAAACTAGGCAGTGGTGGAAGGTAGAGGTGGGAAAAATACTAAGATTGAACAGCCAAGAAGAAGATGTAGAAAGAGATAAAGATCTTAGAAAGGAATATGAGAGACAAATCAAAAAGAAAAAAAACCCATAGCAATTAAGTTATTGAAGCGGGCAAGTGATGATGGATAGATGATTTTACGTTTTTGGTATTGTTCTGATTTGCTTTGCTTTTCCTCTCTCTCTCCTTTCTTTTCTTTTTTTGACATAAATAGAAGTTAAGATAGGATAGAAAGAAAATATTTTCTAACAAAGGATGATATGATGATCTCTTCTATAAGAGATAGAAATAAGAGAAAAGGGGAATATTAGTGCATACACTTTTATATAATAAAATAAGAGCAATCATAAGAGAAAGCTTGGAATAATGAGAGATTGCAAATTTATATAAATATGTATTACTATTAGAAATAAATCAGTTGGTTGAAAGTAATATCTGTGACTAATGCTATTAGCTTTGTTTGTATTAGAATGCATGGTACCCAGGTGCCACACTGTTCACATATTGATATGCTTAAAAAAAGAAGTGGATACAAAGAAGTGGGTACAAATATTTTAATTGAAGAAAGAATGCAAGGGTTATAGGAAAGAGTCCAGTTTCATTCATATTTAAATATCCTCGCAATCAAAAGAACTGAAGAAAAAGCTCCCTTAATTTCCAGATTAATATTAATCACTCTGACAGAAAAAAGAAGTTACTAGTGGCAGTTATCAAGGAGAAACTATCTTCCAAGTTTTTCTAATTCCTAATTGAGGGTGTTGGGAATCTCAATCCAACTAATTATATAAATATAATCAGCATTAATGAGACCTCACTGGCTGTCTCAGCAGAAAGTCTGGCAGGAATGAATCATATTTCTTCTCGCAGAGCTGGACCACAAAAGAAAATCAGGAACAATTGGCAGGAAAAAGTCTTAACTTGGGCAGTACCTGTTCTGTCCAAAGAAGCCTGATTTAGCCTTCCTGTCAAAAGTTTGGCAGTACTAAAATCAATTAAAATGAAAAACGCTTAATACTACAATGCACTGTAAGATGCACAGATTTTATATTTTACTGAAATGAACTACCTGACTCTTGTTAGAACATAAGTGCTCCACTTTATACTAAGCTATGTTTCAGTTAGATCAACTAAGTAAAACTTGCAATTTAGAACAAATGCCATAGAAAATTCACTGGGAGAGTATCTGTCAAAAAGGTCAAAGAAATGCAATTAACTTCTAAAGATGCTTGAAAGTATATAGAAATAGATGTATAATCATGTCAAAAATCTCAATATATAAATATATTTGCAATTAATATTTTATGTCTTTTACTGCTAAACTAAATATTACCAAAGCTTAGTCAGTGGCTTAATTTATCTGTAGCTACAGCTGTAGCCTCAATTTCTTTATTCAGCAGATACTTCACAGGTTCTTACACAATAACACATTTAACAGTGCTTTGCCTCTTAATCTATAGATCTCCTAAGCACATTTGTGTATATTTCTTAACCATAAGCAAGTTCTCACATATGTAGTACATGAATATAAAAACTGGCCTAGCTGACCCAGAGTTTAGCTTAGCAGTTCTTAAGAGAAAACATAGATCTCAGTCTTGCCTAGGCCTGGAGCTAATTTGTTGTTAGCAACATCACTCCTTGTTCTCGTATTCTCTTTCTTGGCCTCAAGCAGGAGAAATCCTGTTTTTTCTATCTCTTGCACCCACTATAGTTGTAGATTTTGTTGCGTTCCTGAAAATATCTTCATCTGCCCTGATGAGTACATACTTACTTCAAAAGTTTTTCAAAGGCATCCAAGAAATCTGCACTTGTCATCAAGATGCAAAATATATTTCTCCTGATATCAGTATTCATTCTCTGCTTACGAGCAAGTTTTAGAATCCTTGTGCTTACCTAAAGGATTAAGAAGGAAATATTATGTAAATTATTAATATTTTATTTTTAAAAATCATGTATTTACAGGCAATAAAGAGCAGGAACAAAGTTAACAGGGAGGCTGGTGTGGTATTAGCTTCTCCCAAGCTATGTATTATAAAGTAGGTTCTAGACAGGAATTTTTGAAAAACAACTCCAGGTATGTGCAAGATCTGTTTTTCTGAACTATTCTTGAGAACTCCAACATGCCGATTTTTCTCCAGGCCATTTTGATGCAGTCATTCTTGGGGTGAAATAGAATGTAAGTTTTGCATGTTTGTAACGAACACAAACACTGGATTCATGTGTCATCTTAAATCATAATGTGATTTATTTGGTTGACTTTGGGTTAGTGTTTGTCAACAAATCATGGCTAAGGCTTCTCAAGCGTGCTGGTAATGGTGTTTTCAGCCAGATTTATTTATTTATTTATAAAATTTATATGGCAATCTAACTCACAGTGACAGTTTACAGAAATATAATTATATAATTATTGCAGATGATTGCTGAGTGTTGTGTGGGCATTCAATAATAAATACAGCTGCTAGCTTTCAACATTTAGATTTGGAAGAAAAGCAAATAGGGATATTTAAAGAAAAAAAAAGTGGTTGGCGTTAAAAATAGGAAGACCTTATTCATTCTTTCAACTATGTAAGAATGCAATATTTTATACTTCAATCACCATTGAATACAATTTGAACAAATCAATTTCCAAGGAACTCTACCATCATCATATTCATTCATGATATTAAAATAAAACTTACTAGAAGAAAGAAAGCATAATGTATTGAGAAACTATTTAAACCATACTGCAAGAAAAATATTAGGGAACCATTACCTTTCCCACAGAATTATTTGTTAGTATTTGTTCAGTTTTGTTGCTGTCAATCATTGGAGTGCCACTCCAAGAGGACCCAACAATCCACCAGCGACCAACCCGATCAGCTGTGAGGAGAGATTCCAATGACACACGAAGTTGAGAGTCTTTTCCGGAGCTACTATTGTGTGTCTGTAGGGGGAAAAAAGAGTGTTCACAGCAACCTTTTTTCCCCTGTTTTTAAAAAAGATATTTATATTGAAGGCTGATCAGTATGATTACTGTTCAACTTTCCTATATACAAATGTAACCAAAAGTCCAAGGCTGTGTTTGATTTGACCCTGGGCTTTTTTAAAAATAAATTAACAAAACAGTCAGTCGATTCAGCTCCTGCAAACTTAATTCTATTTTATTACAGATTTATGTTAATAGGTTCAAAATCTTCATTATACTAACAGTTCTTGTTTAAATCCTATTAAGAGAATACACATTTTTTTAAAAAAGGAATAAATATTTTCTTTACTTTACCAGTGTTCTCAGCAGTTTTCGTAATTTTTCAACGGGTTCTGGGTCATAACCAGGAATTTTCCTCATGTCATTATTTTTTAGTGCCAATACAATCTCCAACATAAAGCAAACCTTTGAAAAATATAACAGGCCTGCATTATTATTCCAAATACGATTTTTCCCCAATAGAGATATGAAAAAGAGAGTACAGTTAAGCCACTATTTTAAACTGAACTCCACAACTATATTAAAACTTTCCCAACAAAATAAAACATTTCGTTGAGTTTCTTCTCCAGCCATTATTATTTTACTAATTTTAAAAAGTATTATTTAGTAGGGGATGTTCAAAGCTATAATGTACCTCAGTTTCTGATGACTGCACGGAAGTTATATTTTACAGTTTGGATTAATGTTTCTATTACTCATAACATCCCTAAGCTTAGCCTTGTTTTTGTACAGTATAATCACTAAGAATTATTTCTTTTAAGTAAATGTCTTTTCGATGCAATCTTCAACTAAAAAAAGACTAACAAGACTGATCCACCTTAACAAATGTGTTGGGGAAAGGCCTGAAATAATGAAAATGTTGTATCTGAAAAGCTAAGTATTTACAATGAGATGTATTTTACATTTTCACCCATCTCATAAATAAGGTCATCCATGTATCACCAACTGTGATACTAAAAGGAGAAATAAGATCTCCAGATTTCTTCATCTTGCTACTGGTCTCCCAACACACTTTGATGACAAAGAGATATAGCTTTAATATTTAATCACAGACAGGAAATAAACCCCTTCAAATTGTATCTCAGTAAGTACAAACTGCATTTTCCCCAATATAAATACATTAAAAATCCTGCCAAATTCTCCTCTTAATAAGAATGCTTTAAAACAGTGTTTCTTTACCTTGCCAACTTTAAGATACGTTGATGTCAACTTCCAGAATTCACAGTTAGCAAGTTGGCTGGAGAATTCTGGGAGTTGAAGTCAACATAACTTAAAGCTGCTAAGGCTGAAAAATACTGCTCTAGAATTATTATTTTTAAAAATGTATTCATACCCTTGACTGGTCCTGGAATTGTTTCCCCAATTCATTTGCTTTTTTCTGAACCTCATTGATAAGTTCCCTGATTCCTAGGGCATCTTCCTTCCTCAAGGAAAAGCCCACATTCTTCAGCAGCACGAGGATCAGTTCAATATCCTTCCCAGAAAAAGTGCTAACAAGCTTCTTTAAGATGTCAAAGATCAGCACTGAATGCACTACATAAAAATTATACAAATTAGCAATTAAAATCAGCAAGTTCTCGCATTCTTTTCCTTCGACTTCGCTTTTGTAGACATCATCAAATTTCCTCACCACAGTTTCCAAAAAATGAGCACCAACCTGGAATAGATTTACATACATGCAAATATAAAAAAATACAGTTAAAGCATTGCCTGGTTACATCTTTATTTCAAAAAGTAAAACCTAACAATATACATAACTAGTGTTGTGGCCATAAATTGCTAACCAGAAAAAGGCATTTATCTTCAGCTTTGTAAAATTTATTAAAATCTATTAATTAGCGACATATATCAATAAAAAATAATATTTGTAGCTCAGTGTTGAAATGAGGGGGCCCGAACGTGACTGTTTTCTTGCAGGCATTTCAAATTAGGTAACATCACCAGTGTAGCAACCTACTCTATTCAAATTTTTAGGATTTGCATAGATATGTTATTAAATATTGTACTATCCTATCATTGTACAGGTAAGCCTATGTTTTTTCAAAACTTAGAATGCCTCACAAAAAATACTGATGAGCACAGCATTGGACTGAAACATTCCTACAGAGAAAAAATAGGTGGATACTTTTTAAAAATTAAGCCACAAATATGGAATTTGCTACAATTATGGTCATTTAATGAGAACCACCTATATTTGATACTATTTTATTCTTATTTGCCTCTCTATTTGCGTTTATAATGTGTGAAGTAAACTGATTGCAGGACTTCCCACTCAACATTTTCGGCTTTGTAACTTAGCAGTTCTGTCAGTAGCATTATATTTACTGTATTTTTCCTGTAAATTTCTTAAGTTCCTGTAATTGTCTTTCCTGTAAGAGTGCTTCACATTTGACATTTGAGGTAAAAGAACTGTTTTGATGAGTAAATTATTGCTAACCTAATTTAATAAAGGCTAGGGCTAGGAATTAGAGCAATGGGGGGAAAGTGACTTTTCTATCAATATGAAAAATCTTCATCTTTTCATCTTAGCATCTGATGCTTAAATAGCTATTCCTTGTAAACATTTTTTCTTGTATATTCTGCCAGTCTACTAAGCAGTATTCAAATCGCTCACATTTGAATGAAACCTTAATGTTTCAAAACAGGTACCAAGATAATGAATTTTATAGGTAGTCCTATAAATTTGTTTAGTGTCTGTTCAAAGTTACAATGACACTGAAATAAGTGACTTATGACAATTTTTTACACTTACAAACATAGCAGCATTCCCATGGCCACGTGATCAAAATTCAGACGCTTGGCAACTGACTCACATTTATGACGGTTGCAGTGTCTTGGGGTCATGTGATCACTTTGGGTGACTTTTTGATAAGCATGGTCAATGGGGAAGTTAGATTCACTTAACAACCTGTTACAAACTAACCAACTGCAGTGATTCATTTAACAACTATGGCAAGAAAAGTCATAAAATAGAGCAAAACTCACTTAATAATTATCTTGCTTAGCAACATAAAATTTTGGGCTCAACTTGGTCGTAAGTCATGGAGTACCTGTACAACATTACCAATTTGTGTATGACAAATTAAGGAATTGTGAAGAAAAGTTACCTCAATTCCCACAGTTTGATGAAGAACACTAACCAAAAGAACATGCTCCAACAGGAGTCTGGAAGGCACTGCTGAATCCATGACACAAGCACAGATAAGAATATCTGTTAATGTTTCATTCATATCTTTTCTACTGTTTGTCATATACAGTTCTTCCAACTGCCCGCTGATGGAGGCTAGATTTGATTCACTCAACCTAGGGGGAAGCAATCATATAAGAGTAAAATTAAAATCTGTATTCTCGTATTACCATTAGCAGTCCTATTATAGCAGTAGCAATAGCAGTTAGACTTATATACCGCTTCATAGGGCTTTCAGCCCTCTCTAAGCGGTTTA